CTCAGGTCATGATCCTGGAGTCCCAGGATCAAGTCCCACATCAGGCTCCCTGCTCAGTGGGGAGTCTGCTTCTCCCTCTGACCCTCCCCCCTCTCGTATGCTCTCTCTCTCTCAAATAAATAAATAAAAAATAAAAAAATAAAAAATAAAAATCTCCTTACTAAATACTGATGGAACAAAGGAATGAATAAAAACACTCAGAGTGCTTTAATCATTTATTTAAAGAGAAAAATGGTGGGAGTGAGAAAGACACAGAATAGCAGTTTGTCACCAGTTCTTCACTGGGCTTACCAATTCCTTCTATTGAATCAGTGGTTCTCAAACTTTAACATGCCTCAGAATCATCTGAAGGACTTCTTACAATACAGAGTGCTGGGCCTCATACACAGAGAGGTATGATTCTGATTCAGTAGATCTGAATGGTCCAAATTTCCCAGGTGATGCTGATATTTCTGGTCTAGGGACCATATGCTGAGAACCACTCTATTGTATTAAACCTTGATTTGTAATAGGAAAATTTTGATTTCTAAAAAGTTGTAGACACGTGGTACTTCTATTTTTTATCGTTATGTTAGTCACCATATAGTACATCATTAGTTTTTGATGTAGTGTTCCATGATTCATCTTTTATTCTTAAAATTAGAAGCATTTTCTTTTTGTATGATCAAAAGCTCAGATGTTCTTTAGAAAGAAAAAATTAGAAAAAGTAGAGATAAGTCTAGGAAAGAAAATCACAATTGCCATTGATGTTCCTTGAGGCCCATGTTGCTTGTAGTCAATTGTTTCATTTAACAACACACCATAAACATCATTCATGTCATAAATATTCTTCTGAAATATTAGAATGGCTTTACAGTATTATATTGGAAGTCTATGGCTTATTTTTTTACCCATTTCACTATTATTACAATAGAAGTAGTTTCAAATTTTTAAATTTATTTTTAGTAACTTATGTAACTAAACTATTGTGTACATTCTTAATTATTTCCTTAAAATGAATATCTAGGAGTGAGACTTCTATGATGTAAGAATAACTTTTTTAAAAAAGATTTATTTATTTATTTGAGAGAGAGAGAGAGACAGCACGTGCAAGAAGGGCAGAGGGAGAGGGAGAGAGAATCCTGAAGCAGACTCTGAGCTGAGTGTTAAGCCTGACATGGGGCTCGATCCCAGAACCCTGAGATCATGACCTGAGGAGAAACCACGAGCTGGATGCTTAACTGACTATACCACCCAGTTGCCCCTGTAAGAATAACTTTTAAGGATTTTCTTATGTGTTGTTACATGGACCCTTAAGGAAGGCTGCTCTAATTTATAACAGCACCAGTGGCAGAATACTTATTTCCCTACACTCTTCCCAACTCTATGATCTTTAAGAGGAAAGATCTTTTCAAATTTGAGGGAAAATAGCATTTCCTAGTTTAACTTCCATTTTTGATTGCTAATGAAGCTAAACATTTTTCTTATATATTTTGGGGGCCACACAATACTTATTTTCATGTCGGAAGAAGTGAGATGATACCTTTTTACCTTTTTTATTTCTCATTGCATCAAATGGCACTTGTGGTTTTTCAATGTTCTCATCCTCTGTGAAAGAATGCCTGCAAATGCAATGCCAAACAAGTCTGGATCAATGAAATGAACAAAATTCATGGAAATTACATCTAATGCACTATTTTATTTTTCTGTGTGGGCACAGATATTTTGATGAACACAAAGAAACACTTTCTGGATTTCATTCCTCAAGACTAGCAATCTGGCCTCAAGTGAGGTGGGTGGAAATCTCATCATCTCTAATCAGCAGAAGCACATTTGAAGAAAAGCAGGGCAAAAAGTCACTCTTCCTTCCAAAAGTGAGCAGTCCCTGATAGCCTGGGTCCAACAGAAGTGAATTGGGAACACACATTCTTATTGGAATCTGTTTGGCTAAAATCACACAGTCTTGAAGCAAGAAGTCCTGGAAAGTCTGAGACACAGACTCAGAAGAACATACACATAATCTAGGAAACGTAAGGGTGCTACGCAGAAAATGACCTATGTCTTGCCACGTCTTCTCTCCTCAAATGCTGACTAACTGTACTTAATGGTAAGGGTTAGTTCCTCTCGGTGTGTTTGCCTCATGTTTTTCTGTTGTGTAACTAAGTGCTTGGCCAGATCGCTTTTGAACTCCAAGTTGAGACCAAATAATCTAAACTGCAGACCGAAAACTTGCTGGTCCTGATGACGGAGAATACGGAGCAGGATGTGGTTGGACTTTCCTGGGTTGTACTCTGATTCTTTCTCCATTTCCATTGCAACAGAATGGAGAGAATATCACTGGCCTGATTTCACAGCGATGCTATGAGGATGAAATCAGATGCTCTGTGTTAAGTTACGTTTTATAAATATTTATTGTCCCAGATATTGTGCTGGGCACTGTGGTAGAGAGGAGATGAATAGGCATATTCAGTTCCTTCAAAATAGAAACATCAGCAAATTACGAAGAATCAAGGAATTAAAAATATTGCTGATGTGGGAAGGTGTGATAACTTTATTGCAGTTTTACTTGCAAAGTCTCTTTTCTTTCTTTGATGCATATGATGAAGTATTTAGGGGTGAAAAAGAAAAATGTCTAGGACTTACTTTAAAATATTTCCCTTCTCCCAAGGAATGAAGAAACAGATAAAGCAAGCATGGGGTGAGATATGTTTAGATGAAGGTTGACTGGGTGCCAGGCCAAATTAAAAAAAAATCTCTGAATTCATGTGAAGCAAAAACTCTAAGTGAAGCTCATAAAAGATAAATCCCTGAAATGCACATACACTGAATTACTATCTTAATGGAGTAAGATGCTTTGTATGGTTAAGCGTCCTGAAGCAATTCCTTATGCGATTTTGTGAATAAATTGTTTTTAAAAATGTGACTTTTTCATGGAAAGCCTATGAGGAGAGCAAAGTACACTTGCAACTTTATTTCTTGTAAAGTGAAAACTAGCAGATGATGCACAAATATTGATTTTAATATTTTCATTCTGTTCAGATTTACACTAATTCTGTTGGGACCTCTGGATTCTAAGCCTCAGGGCACAGACATACATCACTGTCGCTTTTTCTGACCATTGCTTTTCTGACTTTATCTCTTCTCACCTCGTTGTTCTAAGCAAATGATCTTTATCTAGAAGGAAGCATGGGAGCACCTGGCTGGCTCCGTCTGGGGAGCAGGTGACTCTTGATCTTGGGGTCGTGAGTTCAAGCCCCACACTGGGTGTAGAGATTACTTAAATAAATAACTAATTTTAAAAAATAAAAGGAAGCATGAAGTCATTAATCCCCACAGGTGGCATAGGTATGTAAAATTGGCTTTTTCTATAGAAAAAGCTGGAGGTGACCATTGTGAAGATAAGAACAATGACGAATGACTACACCTGACCTTCTGTCTACAGGCTATACTGGAATAAAGCAGTGGACCTTGGACGTGAGGCCAGGGTCCTAATCCCTCCTCTATTTCTCTGGGCTGTGTGGCTTGAGCAAATGATCCACCTTCTCGGCATGGTTTCCTCATCTGGAAAATGTGTATGATATGCATCCTCCTTGTAACACAGCAGGATGATAATTAAATATACATATACTCACAGGTAAATTTGAAGATAATTGGAATTGAGTATTCTTTCTTGGAACATTCTCAGAGTGATTTACCTAATTGCTTTTTGAGAAAGATCTAAAATTTAATGTTCTCAGTGTTAACTTAGATAAATCTTTCGAACTTGTCTTGCTTTTCCTACAAAAGAAAGAAAAAATGTTTCCTCCACTGTAGATCCTAAAGTGACCTTAGGATGGTAGAGAAACGTGAAAAGCCAAAACCTACTTGCCCTGCAGCATACCACATACCATGTAGAATTATCTTATGTAATTCTTGTGAAGTAATATGTGGTAGGTAGTATAATCCTTATTTTACAGATGTGGAGATTGAGTCTCAGAGGTATCAAAACTTTAGCTGCTATAATTAATTAACTCTAGGATTGGGATATTTGAATCCATGTCTGTCTGATTCAAGAAAGTCCTGACCCCTTCTACACTGACCACTTTCAACACTGACCACTAATAAACTCCCTTATTCAAAGGGAATCAGTTAGGGTTAGGCTTAGGGTTTGGGTTAAATGCAGTATTCTGAATTTAGGAAAAGTCCCTTCCTTAACCTTACACCATATATGGAGCTTGAGAAAAACTTGCTGGGGAACACATTTTCCAAAACTTGTATATCTCAAGGGAATTTAGTCAAAGTTAAAAACAGTACCTAAATTGGCTCCTTGGTAAATCAAGTGGGCTATTCCCCACTGATAATGACGAATGAGACAGACTTGAATGACTTGAGTGAGGGCGAAGAACAAACAAATGGGCACTGAGCTCTGTTATTTGAAATTACTTTTCAAACAAATAAAGGCTTCTGTCAGGCTTACTACTTCTGAGCATTGAGGGAATAAGGCCAACTTCATAACATCGTGGCAATTAAAGTGAGTTCTGATCCTGGGAAATGTCCTAAGAATTCTTCAAATATACAATTATTTGTATTTTTGAATTGTAAAAAAAATTCTTATGGAAACGCTTTCCTTACTTCCTGAGGCAGAGGGAAATGAAGACAAGTCAGGAGAACCGAAGCCATTCCTTCCTGAGAGGGACTGCAAGAGACATAAATGATTATGGCATGGCCCTTTCGTCTTTCATCTCCCTAGGAGGTTTAGGTTTGCTTCTGTTTTCCTGGCAGTAAAAGTCAAATATTCCCTGGATTCCACCATATAAAAGAGAAGGCGACTTAGCCAGTGCCTTGGGCCCTGTTCCTTCTCAACAAGGACAGGAGATGTGAATATATTCACCTTGGCCTATCCTTTCTCCCATCCCCTCATTACCACCTCTCATTAGAACGGAAGTGGAAATGGGAGGTCAAATGTTTCCCTCTGAGATTCTACCTTCTAAAAAAGAAAAGTTCTATTCTTGTGGCAGGGACAGACATATTTGGAAATTTGGCTAGATTTTGCCCAGAATAAAGTCACGCCTCAAACACTCTCTAAATAAATGATCATACCATCTTGGGCTCCATGCTGACTGATGGTTCATTAAACAAAAAAACAAAAAAAAAAAAACCAAAAAAAAAAGTCACCTAATTCCTTCTGTCTGATGCTCTCATAATTCAAGGATATACATCACAGAATGAAATGAGATTGAAACTTTTAATTTTAAACATTACTCTGTAGTAGAGTCAAGTCCTATTGGTATAAAAAACTGTTGGATATGGGGCGCCTGGGTGGCTCAGTCATTAAGTGTCTGCCTTCGGCTCAGGTCATGATCCCAGAGTCCTGGGATCGAGCCCCGCATCGGGCTCCCTGCT